CTTTCAACCTGGGAAAGGATACTAAGAGCCCTTTATAGATCACTGTCAGGAAAAAAATCAGTCCACAGTAACTGGTAGTAACCAGAAGAAAATCAACTTGGGTGCCGTCAGGACGACCAGCCCCTGACTGCCTACCATTGTGCGTGGCTGCGTGGCCTCGCCCCCACGAGGGGCCGGCTGTGGACCTGATCACTCCAGCTCTGGAAGGACGGCCCACCAGGGGAGGACCCGCAAATGGGTGCCCCTACCCCCACCCCGAAGCTTGAAATTAAGGAATAAAGGAAGCTCTTTTTCACACAGCGGGTAGCAAACCTGTGAATGCTCCTCCCCACACAGTGAGAGGATAAAAATAGGAAAAGGGCCACTTAGGGATTTGCTGAACTAAAGACTAGAAAGCAGATAACAGGGCTTTTTAAGACTCTGCTGTGTTCTCTCCATCAGAATTTCTTCTGTTCTCAAAGCTTCAACTATCCTCTTCACACTCTTAAATCTACGCTAATTCGTTGATTCTGACATATTTTTACATATTTTACATATTCTCTGGAAGTTGGGTTTACCATCAATGGGGTGATACAGTTGAATTGACAGCCTGTTTCTTCCTTAGTGGTTATAAAATAATGATGCTTCCACCACCATTGGCATTTTTGATTTGATGGGATCTTGTGTATCTCCAGCATTCATTGCCTTTCCTCGCCCTGGTCTTAACATCTGCAGCTCCCTTTGAGACATTTTCGCTGGATGTATATCACTCCGTCAGACTCAGCACGTTGTGAACTTCAACCACCACTGCCTCTTTCTCATCAGACACTGAGACTCTTTCTAACTTCTTTATTTTCAAATGGTAACTGTTCTCTGAGTTGCCCGGCTGGTAGCCTTTCTCTTGCATCCTCTGTAATAATAAAAACACTTACCAGTATTTATTAGTGCCGCCTGCATGGCAGGCACTGTTCCAAGCCCTGTGTGTTTGTTAACTCATTAATCCTTACAGCGACCCTACAAGGCAGGTCCTGTGACCAGCCCTCTTTTATATGGGACGTAGAGCCCCTTGCCTGCGGTCACACTCCATTCAGGTCACAGCTCTGAACTGCCTGTCTTGGGTCCAGCCTGTGTCACCACACAGTTTTCACTCACCTACTAATCAGTTTACTCTCTGTCTCTCTGGATTTGCCTGTTCTGGACACTTTGTATAAATCAGATATAGAGTAAGTGACTTTTTGTGTCTGGCCTCTCTCACTCAGCGCAGTGTTTTCAGGGTCCATCCACTTTGGGGAGTGTGTCAGGGCCTCGTTTGTTTTTTATGGTGGAATAATGTTCTGTTGTGTGGATGGGCGTGCCACGTTTTATTTATCCATTTATGAGCTTGTGGGAATTTGGGTGGTTTCTCCTTTCAGGCTCTCGTGAAGAATGCTGCCGTGAACGCTCGTGTGGGCATTTCTGGGTGGGCATGTGCTTTCACTTCTCTTCGGTGTGTGCCTCGGAGTGGAACTGCTGGTGACTGTTCAGCTGGTTGAGGTTAAGAACTTTTAGTAGCTCCTCACACTCCTCAGTCCAGTTTCCAAAGCCCTGTCCATCTGCTGTCGATTTCTGCGATTCCAAATCCCGGATTGGCCACTTCTGCTCCTCACCGCAACTAAGATGTGGTCCAGGGCAGAGTCAGCCCGGACATGTATTTCTTTGAGACACACAGCAGTTCAAAAAATCTGAATTACTTGTGCATTTGAGATTATACTTAATGATCCAAATTTGTCTATTCTTGTAAAAAATTGCAAGATATGGTCACCATGGGCCCACACTCCCATGAGGCGCCACCACCTGACTGCAGCTGACACCCTGCCTTGCCCTCCTCACACTCTTCCTGGCCAGGAGGCATTGCAGACCCTGCCTTCCCGCCTAGATCCATCTTTCCCAAGCCCTGCTTCGCCGGCTGCTTCTATCACTGTGTCTGCTTCTAGAAGCTGCTGGTCCTCCTGCTGCTCAGCTCCACACTGGGTAGAGTGTTTGCTGTGCGGTTGCTTAGATGGGAGTGCAAGGAAGTTAAAAGGGAGCTGTGTTGGTAGAAGAAGTGCAGGCTTTGGGGCCAATTGCCTGGGTTCAAATCTCACGTTTACCCTTTTACCAGCTGTGTGTTCTTGGGCAGGTCGCCTAACTTCTCTGAACCTCAGTTCCCTAACATTTTAAAACAGGGTAATAGTAGGACCTCCTTATGTATCGTTACCATGAGCAGTAAATGGACTCCGTCATTGTCATGGTTAATGTCTTTTCCTCGATGTCTTCTCACTGAGGCCAGAACCCTGCAGGTGCTGGGAGCTCAGACACTGTTTCTCCGCAGGGGGCCCTCCGGGCACTTCGGCTGGCACAGCTGGGCTTACTGTCCTGCGCGTTCAGGCTTCAGCCTCCCTGGCTAGAGCTGCACCCTCACTCTCTGGCTGAGAACAAGAGTCAGAGGACGAGGGTGCCTTCCCACGAGCCAGCTGCGGGCCTCGCTTCTCGCACCACAGCACTGGGCCACTGCCAGGCCTGGCCTGTCGGGCTGAGCTCACGGCAGGTGGTCCCTGCTCACCATCCAGCTGTCCTGAGGGACACGGCCGAGCAGGTCTGAGCCAGGAGTCACTTCTTTTTGTTTGTTTGAGTGAAATGTTGACTAGGTAGAATGCCTACAAAATGCGTGTGAAACGTACAGAACTATGATACAACAAACACCAGTGTACCTGCCAGCCTGTTTTTAACAAGAAGCTTCATTGTCTTCTCGTGTTCCTCCCTAGATCCTATCCCAGTTCCTCTCCTTTTTGGTTCCAAATTTTAGGTAGACTGTTCCTGTGCTTCACTTTGTTTCTCTGATCACCGTTTAGTTTAGAAGAGGAAGCACGCTCTGCGAGTCTGAGTGCTGAGTCTGTCTGCCCCTTTGACCTGCTTTCAGGATAACCTCTTCAGCTCTGTCTTCCAATAGCTGATTTTTTCCCCCAGCTATTCCTAATCCATAAAACCCATCCATTGAACTTCTAATTTCCCATTGCATGTTTTCATGTATTGAAACTCTGTTTATGCTGGTCATATTATGTCCTATTTTCAAAGTTAATTTTTATCTTTAAAGCAGTCGCGTTTCTTTGCTCGACACGGTGCCTTTGGGGTCTGTCTGCGGTGGCGTGTGTGCATTTTCTCTGCCACACGGGGCTCTGTCGCGTGACTGCAGTGCTGTGTCCGGTGCCCCGGCTGTGGCAGTGAGCAGACAGCCCAGTCCTGCTTTGATGGAGCTTCAGGAATAGCCGAGAAGAGAGAGAGAAGCAGGCACCAAGTTAGTCAGGTGAACTTTCCAGGGTGGAGGCCAAGAGTTCAGGAAGGTCTCCTCGAAGCCGAGACCTGAAAGGACGAGCAGGAGATGCTGGGTGAGGGCTGATCCCACGCTCCAGGTAGTGCACGTGGAACCGGGTGAGTGAGTGCCGTCCCCACCGCGACGTCAGGCCTTTGCTGTGTGTGAGTCTTGGCAAGTTAGCAGAGTATGAACCATGGCACGTGTGAGGTGTTGTATGTTTGAACCCTAAGCCTTAAGTAGGCCATTCACTTGCATGTGGGCAAGTCACTGATGATCAGGGTTCACACTGAGCTCTGGAGGAGTGGGTATGATGTCGTGTGTCATTAACCAGCTCCTGACTCTGCTGGTCCCATCCGAACCCTGGGCCTCTGAGTCCTCCTTTCGTGTGGAACAGGGACAGTCGTGGTCCCCGCCCTGCAGGATCTTGTGTGTGTGGCGGGGAGGGGCGCCCAACACCTCAGTACTGTGCCAGGTGCAGGGGGCACCCGTGCCGTCGCTGCCCGGCTCTGTGGTCAGCGTTCTGTGCGCCGCCCTCTTTTACCCTCTCAGCAACCCTGTCCACCCACCAGCCACCTTGAAATCTCCACCTGTCTGCCTGAAGCTTAAACTCACCTAAAACGAAACTCCTGGTTTCCTCTCCATCAAACTGTCCCTCTCCCAGTCTCCCCATCTCGACAAACCCCACCACTGCCTGTCTTTGGCTCAGGCCCCAGTTCTAGGAGTTACCTCTGGTTCCCCCTTTCTGCTCATGCTTACCGCATCTGTCAGCAGGTCCAGTCAGTTCTGGCTCCAGAGAGAACTGTCCTCTCCCTGAAGCCCCTTCACTGCCACTGGAGTCTAGGCCCCACCGGCTCTCCTCTGGGCACCTACACAGCCTTCTCCTGGCTCTTGTGCTTCTGCAGCCAGTCTCCTCACAGCAGGCCGGGGATCCATTCCAAATACACAAAGTGGTGTCTGACGTTTCCTGCTTCAAACCTGCCTGTGGCTTCCCCTGCGCTTAGAAATGAGTCCAGCCTCCGCACCTTTGCTGTGGACGCCTGCCCGCCTGTCTGCTCCCTCGTGCTCCTCCTCTGGACGCTCTGCAGCCCAGCTCATCCTGCCTCAAGGCCTTTCCTCTCGAAGCACCGTCACCCGGAATGCTCTGCCCGGCTTTTTCTGGTCTGCCTCTTCAGGGCTCAGGGGCTTGCCCCATTACCCTCTGTCACAGGCTCTATCTATAATGTCTCTATTGACTTTTTCTCTCTCCCATCTTCCCTCCCCACCACTGTAAGCTGTCTGTTGCCCAGCACGTGTGTGCACTTGGTAGTGGGGAGGCAGTTAGGCCCCATTTAAGGACAGGATGCAGAGCAGAGACTCAGAAGTCAATAGCTCGCCCCGGGTGGTACGTTAGTAAGCAGCCAGGCCCTCCCATGATGCTGCAGCCCCCTGCAGAGCCGGACCAGCTGGCCAGTGCCTGGTGTCTGTGGGGACCAGAGCCTTCCCCACGCAGGCTCCTTGGGAGGCCCAGGGGTCTGACACCGTCCCGCAGAACGGGTCTCATTGAAGGGGGGTGGCTCAAGGACGCCCGCCCTGCTTCCTTCTCTTGTGTGCTCTGGCACAGTCACTCTCTGGACTGTGGGGTGTGGGTGCCAGGACAGAAGCACAGGTGTGGCGGGCGTCCTCACTACCTCTCCCTGCTCCCCCCGCGCAGGTCGCACCAGCTTCTACGAGGAGTACGGGGTCATCCGAGATGTCCTCCAGAACCACCTGATGGAGATCCTCACGCTGGTGGCCATGGAGCTGCCCCGCAACGTCAGCAGCTCGGAGGCGGTGCTGCAGCACAAGCTCCAGGCCTTCCGGGCCCTGCGGGGCCTGCAGAAGGGCAGCGCGGTCCTGGGCCAGTACCAGGCGTACAGCGAGCAGGTGCGCAGAGAGCTGCAGAAGCCAGACGGCTTTCACAGCCTGACGCCAACCTTCGCAGGTGGGCTCCGGGGCTGGGCACGGGCTGCCCCCTCCCCCCAGGCGGAAGCCGCTCTCCAAACCCAGATGCCCTTTGGTGTGGGTTGGAAGGGACTTGAAGGGGGGTTTTCACAAGGGAGCTCAGTGGCAAGTGAGAGGTTCCCCTGCTTCTCTGGCCTTCCACTAGCTTAAAGCAGCGGGTCACCTGCTGGCTCTCTCTGGACAGAGGACACCTCTGTGGTGGTCTCAGTTCAGTCCACGTCCACAGGGCTTGTGGAGCTGAGTTCAAGTTCTGCCTTTGCAGACCTTACATCCAGCCCCAGTGAGGCTGCAGACCAGCCCACCACAGCCAGGGGCACCTCCAGTGGGCAAGCACCATGCCAGACAGGTGCCCCCCAGGGCCATCCTCTGGATGGTTCCACAGGCTCAGAGCTTTCTGGGGGAGTCCGGCTCCTTAAGACTGCAGATATTAACCCCCACAACCAGAGCAGCAGCTGCTGTCAGGCACGCCATATACACGGTCTCATTTAACCCTCACATGCACAGATGCATCAGGCAGGTGTGATTATCAGCCCCATTTAGAGGTGACGGAACATGAGTCTCAGTGAAGTTGCCCAAACTTGCCCAAGGTCTTGCAGAGACAGTAGATGAGAAAGCCAGGTCTGGAACTTGAGTCTGGAGTGAGCTCAGCGTCCAGCTCTTACCTCGTGGCCCCCGCTGCAAGCTTTCTCACCTGCACGCCAGTTCCCTGCTGGTCTGTGGCTGAGAGCCCCGTCCCCTCCCCTTCTCCCTATATCTGACCTGGCCACAGTGTGTCCTGAGTGCTCTACAGACAGGAAGGGAGCACCTTTCCATAGGACGTCCCCACCGACAGTCAGGATCTCCACCACCTTTTCCCCACCACGAGACTCCCCGTAGAGTCTCCAGATTGGAGCCTCTCAGCCCAGTTCTCCTTTGCCTGGAAGACTGTGGCTTTAAGAGGTGCCTCGAGGGGGGTGGGTGTCCGAGGTGGCCCCAGAGGCCACCGTCTGAGCACTGACTGGGAAGAGAAGATAATGGAAGAGGTGAAAGTTAGTGGGTGAGGCTAGCAAGGCAAAGGGTGTTCCCGATGCAGTGTGTGCCCAGAGAAGGGGCTCGGGCAGGAGGAGGCTGGCTGGCAAGAAGGAAAAGAGGGGAAGGCAAGTGGGCTGGGAGGTCCTGGGTTCTCTGTGCTGGAGCATCACCTCCACTGTCCCCCTGTCACTTCAGGCATCCTCGTTCACATCGACAACCTTCGCTGGGAGGGCGTCCCTTTCATCCTGATGTCCGGCAAAGCCTTGGATGAGCGAGTGAGCTACGTTCGGATCTTGTTCAAGAACCAGGCATGCTGTGTCCAGAGCGAGAAGCACTGGGTGCCAGACCAGAGCCGGTGCCTGCCTCAGCAGATCGTCTTCTACATCGGACACGGCGAGCTGGGCAGCCCTGCCGTGCTGGTCAGCCGGAACCTGTTCAGACCCTCCCTGCCATCTGCAAGCTGGAAGGAAGTGCCTGGCCAGCCTGAGCTCCACCTCTTTGGCCGCCCTCTGTCTGATTACTACGCCTACAGCCCCGTGAGGGAGCAGGATGCGTACTCCATCCTAATCTCTCACATCTTCCACCACCGGAAGGACTCCTTCATCACCACGGAGAACTTACTGGCCTCCTGGATCTTCTGGACGCCCTTGCTGGACAGCCTGGCCCACGAAGTCCCACGCCTCTACCCAGGAGGAGCTGAGAACGGACACCTGTTGGACTTTGAGTTCAGCGGCAACCACTTAGCCTTTTCCCAGCAGCCGCTGGAGCAGCTGGTGCCGGGGCCAGGTTCTGGGCCGACACCCAGTGACTTCCAGGTTCTCAGGGCCAAGTACCGAGAGAGCCCACTGATCTCAGCCTGGCCTGAGGAGCTGATCGCCAAGCTGGCCGACGACATCGAGGCCACAGCTGTGCAGGCAGTGCGGCGCTTTGGCAAGTTCCACCTGGCGCTGTCGGGCGGCTCAAGCCCCGTAGCCCTGTTCCAGCAGCTGGCCATGGGGCACTATGGCTTCCCCTGGGCCCACACGCACCTGTGGCTGGCAGACGAGCGCTGCGTCCCACTCTGGGACCCCGAGTCAAACTTCCAGGGCCTGCAGGCGCACCTGCTGCAGCACGTCAGGGTCCCCTACTACAACATCCACCCCATGCCCGTGCACCTGCGCCAGCGGCTCTGCGCCGAGGAGGACCGGGGCGCCCAGGTCTATGCCGAGGAGATCTCCGCCCTGGTGGCCAACAGCAGCTTCGACCTGGTGCTGCTGGGCATGGGCACCGACGGGCACACGGCCTCCCTCTTCCCGCAGTCGCCCACCGGCCTGGACGGCGAGCAGCTGGTAGTGCTGACCAAGAGCCCCTTCAGGCCGTACCAGCGCATGAGCCTCAGCCTGCCCCTCATCAACCGGGCGAGGAAGGTGGCGGTCCTGGTCATGGGCAGGATGAAGCGTGAGATCGCCGTGCTGGTGAGCCGTGTGGGCCACGAGCCCAGGAAGTGGCCCATCTCGGGAGTCCTGCCTGATTCTGGCCAGCTGGTGTGGTACATGGACTACGAAGCGTTCCTGGGATGATGGTGCCTTCACCCTTCGCTCACCCCTGTGCATCCCTTCACTGTCCTCTCTCTGCTCCCTCGGTCCTGCCCCCCGCCCACACACCCTGGCTCTCTGGGAGCTGATGCCTCAGGGCCAGGCCCCCATCCCAGTCCCTGTGACGGCCCCTGTCTGGTGGTGGTGGGTACACACTGAAACAAGGAAGAAATGTAATCTCTGCTCTCTAGAAGCTTCAAATCCAAGTCCGAGAGAAATGTCCACCTTAAGAAAAGACCTGCAGCAGTTACACGTGAACATCGACCGGTGCAAAACAAGACGATTTGAAAGCTCCCCACTGGAGGAGGAGTGTGGTGGTCTGCGGTTAATTGGGACGTTTCTCGCAGGCCGGGACCTTGAGGGAAAAGCAGAGCGTTGACCGGCAGGAGCAGGAGCACGGGCATCGCTGGGGGCACAGCACCCTGTGCAGAGTGGGGTGCTGGGAGTGGCCCCAAGACCATGAGCTTTCAGGCCCTCAGCTCCATCCGTCCCGTCTTCCCAAGCCTCCGCCATTCAACCTGCTGTCCTGTGGTCCCCGTGGCCACCCCCACCTGCTCTGCGTCTCGGGTTCATTTCTCCTCTGTCCCTACTGTAGAGGTCTTCCCATCCCCTCTCTGTTTCTACACTGTCCCTCAGACGCCCCATTTATGGACAGACGATGACAGTAACACAGCAGCAAGTGCTAGGATGCTAAAATGGACCAGAAATCTTGTGACTTGTTTGCAGCTCCTTTTCTCAGCAGATGAACTTCTCTGATGGGGAAGGCGCTGGCTCCCTCAGCTTCGTGAGGGAGGACCCCTGCCCCACCCCAGCGCTCCCATCTCTAGCCAGCCCTCCACCTGAGACACACCAGACGTGGATGATCAGGCCATTCCAGGCTTCCCTGATTTGAGAGGGTCCCTTGTGTCTCAGTGGACTTCCCAGTGAGTGTTTCTGCTCTCAGTGTCCCCTCTTGTTTTACCTGGGAAGATCCAGTTAAATCTTTGGTGGTGACATCTCATTTGGGGAGAGAGGTGTGACACCAAGTGCCCTAGCCCAGCAGGTGCTCTGATCTGACCAGTCAGGAGCCAGGCCTCCTTGGCGGGGCGGCCGCAGCTCATGTTAGCAGGGGCTGCCCACGACCATCTCAGGAACTCGGCTGATTTTCAGCCCGCCCTCCTCACACTACCTCTCGGCGGCATCGACATCCAATCTGCTGGGCCCTCCTGCCAGCGCTCACCTCACCACTACTGCCTTGCTGAGGACGCGGGAGAACCCAGCAGAGCTTCTCAAGAAATAGGTTGGGTGCTCTGCTTCTGAGAATCCATGGCCCAGTAATACCTGTTTTTCTGAAACCCCCAAGGAGAGAGGGGGTATCTTTGAAATTATTTTTTAAAAAATTCAAAATTCTCAGGATGCACTTAATTTTTATTTCAAATTCCTGTGTAGCCATGCCCCCAAGATCCATCAGTAGAGCACAAGACAGGCTTTTCTGGGTGACTGCTTCCCCGTCTTACAGTCACATTTTGTATCTGATCAGGCAGATACAAAGTGTCAAGGTCACACCAAGGGCTTTCCTGGGTGAGGAGGGGCATCATGAAATCTGTTTCTTCTGATTGTTACACTTCCTTCAAGGCTACGGATTTAAAGTAATTCTTGCTATCATCCTAGATGTGTGTGTGTGTGGGAGATGGGTATCTGGGATGGGGGCTCTGCGTGTTAAAATTCGGCTCCCCCTGGCCTCCAGCGACCAGTCCAGACAGGACATCTCTCTCTATGCCGAGAGAGCTCACTGTGGCGGAACAGAACGCAGTGCCCGGGTCAGGAAGTCTCCTCTGTTTCTGGGGGTCAGCATTTTGGCTCGGATACATCTGGTGGGCCCGCCTGCAGGAGTGGACACATGGTTGCAGGCCGGGTGCCACCTCTGGCCACGTGGGGGCGCCCTGGCACCATCCCTGCCTTCTGGACATCTGACTGAGAAGGAAGTCTCCCTCCTGGCAGGTTCCTCCGTGGTGTTTCCATATTCTACATCCCTGGTCTCTTGGTGCTGAGCACTGCCCCCCAATACTCCCCCAATCTGTTCTTTTGGAACTTCTTCCTCTGCGGTTGCACCACGAGGAGAGGGGGACCGCCACATGCTGGGTGTCACTGTGGGATACAGGCGAGCAGACTCTTGATGTCACTGTTTCTGAATAATAGTGAGTCACTGCGGGCCTGAGCCTGGCCTGTCCTGTTCTCAGGGGAGCGCCTGGCCTCAAAGAGCACCCGTCATCTGTGGCGAGCGCATGTAGGGGTAGGGGTGGGGGCAAAAAGTGCGAAGGTTTTCCTTCTGGAATCGAGTGCTTTCTTAAAGTCACACCAGAAAAGCCAATTGGGGGCCATTGTCACGGTTCCTGCTTCCACCCCCTCCCTTTCCCCTTTCCCTCCCTTGCCCTGTGTTAGGAAGGAGAGATTCTCTGAATAGGGCCACCTCTGCCGGTGGTTTTCAAACTTTTTGAACCACGATTCGCAGCAAGAAGCACACTTTACATCATGAGTCAGTGCTCATGTTCGTGAATAAATCTGGGTCTCAAGCAAAAATTTCTTAAAGGAGTTCTCATCCTGAGAATACAGGATATCATCTCTTTCCTCTTTTTCATTTTTAGAAAATGCTGCTTGTAATCCTCTAAGTTGAGTTGATACATAGTTGGGAAAGTGCGGCTCTATTCTGACTTTACCTTGGTGTATAAATCGAGGCCCCCAAGGTTTGGAAGGGAGCATGCGAGCCCAGCTCACAAGGAAGGCTTGTGACCACTCTGGGACCGGAACCCAGGCATCCGTCCTTGCTGCAGCTTCACGCCTCGGCTGGTCCCAGCTGACTCCGCTCCAGCCTCTGCGGTGGGATGCTCGCCTGTTCCATCAGGAGGGAGGGGAGCCAGTGGGTGAAGATGCTCCAATTGGAAGCCTGTGGCTTGTGGGAGTGATGACAATGTGTCCTTTAGTGGGGTGACACATGCTGGGCTCAGCACTAAGCGTTTTGCACGGTGTGGCCTTTAATTTTTACAACAACCCTGTGAGTAGGTGGCGGGATCTTCAATTACCGGTGATTTTGAAACTGAAACTTGGAGTTGTCTCATGCCAGCAAGCCAGTGGTTTCAAGCCAGGTGTGGAACCCAAAGCTTCATGATTCTAGACATGTGCCCCCAGCCACGCTGCTCCGTCACCTGCCTCCCAGGGCGCCGGTGCAGCTGTGGTTCCCAGAGCCCAGCTTCCCTGCACGGACCCCGCGCGCACACTTGTGGGCCTGTGAATGGCACAGGGCCCCTCCTCTGGGAGGCCGCTTCAAACCCACATCTCTTATTCCCAGGCGCTGTTGCCGTATGCTGTAGGGAAAGAACTGAGGGACTTTCCAGGTTGCTGTAAGCTGGATTCTGATTTCCACCTGGGTGCAAAGTCTTTGCTAAGCACAGGTTAGGAGAGTCTTGCTTCTCTGCAAACTGCTTCATTCCCACTCCAGCCTCTGGTACTGGGCGCAGTACAAGCCCTGCCGGTGGGCAGTGGTTCCAATTACTCCCTCGAGGGAGCCCTTCCAGAAGGCACAGGCCCCGACTCCCTGGTCTGCTGCCTCGCTCCCTCCTTTCCTGTTTGTACAGAGGGCAGGGGACAGGGTGACAGAGAAAGGGAGGGAGACACCCCCATAGAACTTTAAAGGATGGTTTCCTCCAGTTAGTTTACAGAAACAGACTTCTTTTTTCAACAGAAATACATGCAACCTCCCAGAAGCAGCCTTTGCACCAGCTTTCCCCAGCTCTGTTTTTATTGTAAGCAGACGGGGCCCTGCGGACCTTAGCCTGCTGGTTAGAGTAGCTGCCAGGCTGCATGTCTGTGTCAGAGATTGAACAGGTCACAGGAAGGACCATCAGTGACATGAGGGTGAGGTGGCCATGGTGGCAGCCAACACGATTGGCACCTGCCTGCCACCCAAAAGATAGACCTGAGGTGGGCGGCCTTGCCACCCGAGTGGCCCACTAGGGGCCGGTCCCCAGCCCCCCCCTCGGCCACCTGCCGAGCTGAAGCCCATCTGTGCAGCGTCCTCTCCCCTCGGCCGTCTGCTCCGGGCGCCACAGACCTTGAGGCTACAGCTGTGCGGGTGGCACTTGAGCTGCTCGCTTGGTCCAGGTGAGATTTCCAGGAGGAAGAGGGTAGTTCCTCCAGCCTCATCCGTGTCTGGCAGCTAGTCTGAGCCCAGGAGGACATCTGGATGGACCATGCGGTAATCCCGGCCCCGCTGGGGCCGCCCCCTCGGAGGCTCCGCGCATCTCGGCTGCAGCCGTGGATCGCTCCTCTAATAACCCTGCCTGCCCTCCTCCCCTCCCACTGACCGTCCAGGGGCCGCCCGGTCGTCAGCCTGCCGTCTTCCGTTGCCCACTTGGAGGATTGGGTGGGGCACCAGCATGTTCTCTGTGGCCCTTTGCTGCGTACCATGTAGTCTCCACAGGCGATGAAAACCCTGCTTCCTGCTCTGGAGCAGGACGCTGCCTCCCGTGTGGATCAGCCATCCTTACTCAGCGTGTCTTCGCCAGAGGAAGCCAGCGGGAGCCTGAATCACGTGTCTTCTTGGAAGAGTTGTGATCCCAGGTGACCTCCAAGAACGTCCAGGGCCCTTCTCCAGAGGCGGGTGCTCGCGTCAGCGGCTCAAGGTGAGGCCAGGGTGAGAAGCTCTGAAGATCCCTCGGCTCGTTACGGAGCAAGGTGCAGACGTACTGATGCCGTCAGCGCGAGGGGGAAGCAGCAGCAGATCGAGGAGGCACTTCTGAAATTGTTACAAGCTGGGGAAACGATCGCTCCAGCCTGTTTGCAAAGCAGGCCCCTGGGGCCGTGTCTGTGTGTGACCCAAAGATGGGAAGGGACGGGGATTGGATTAGTTATGCGTCTTCTGTTCTTTGATTCCAGGATGGTCTTTGTTTAAAACTCTTGCCTTGCTCTCAGGTGTTCTAAAGGAAGTCTGCATCTTTCCTGTCCCTCTGATGTGGGCAGGGGTAAACACATTTTCACTTGCTGAAAGCCGCATGGAGTCGATTTGAATGGCTAGTATTAGCTTTGAAAGCAGAAGTGTAAACAGAACTATGCATCTGCTAGCTTGGCTCCTCTTCTGTACCCCACAGGTGTCTAGAAGTCGGTTATTAAACGGTCTGAGGTACCTAAGTCCAGAGGGAAGGACCCTGGAGTAGCTGGTGATCAGGGGCCCAGTTTGCCTCCCCTTCTCCGAGATGCGACCTGTGCGGTCCGTGCCTCCTGGTCCTTCACTTGGGAGAACGGGGTGAGGGCAGACAGGAGCGGGGCCTCTGCTGGGCCCAGGGGCTGTTGCTGCCCAGGCCTGAGCGAAGGCCTTGCTTCCAGCTGGGAGGCCACTTTGGTACCGTGCTCATTAGCAACAGACCTAGACAGGGGGTGTGGGCCCTGAACGCAGGACGCGTTGTAGTCTGGCTCACGTCCCTGCGCCTTGTCCCGCGCTGGGAAACTTGGCACTGGATTTCTGTCAAGAAAGCAGAAGAGAGACAGGAAGACTCTTTCTCAGAGGACTGTCTGTTCCCTCATGTGGCGAGTAGACAGTGAGCATGAAACCGCCCCTCTGCCAAGGGCAAGAACGCACCATGCTTTCTTTGCAGAAACTGCCCGCGGTTTTTGTGGAAATGCTGGACACTTAAAACGATGCCTCTAACTATGAGACATACTCAGAACAGAGTTTTTTTAAATGTCTTTTTGTATGTGAAATGTAACATTTATTTTTAAAACAATAGAATTGTTTTGCCAAAATTCATGTTTTCATTCTTTCTCTGGGAGACAGACAGTGTGATGGCTGTCTGTGCTCGGAGGGAGGGAGGGAGGGACGGAGGGACATCTGAGCAGTCAGCTGCTTTCCGTTTGCTTGAAGGTCCCTGGGCTCCTGGGAGAGGCAGTGGTGGGTACGGTGACTGGATTTCATAGATTCCCAAGCAGTCTGGGGAAAGCTGTCCCCACCCTACACCTTCCTGGCAGCCCAATGGATGGGACAGGGCGTCACCCCAGAGGGAGTTACCGTGCTGTCCAAGCATCTTAGGGAGGGGGCATCTTGGGGAGGGGGCATCTTGGGGAGAGGGCATCATGGAGGGGGCATCCTGGGGAGGGGGCATCTTTGAAAGCAGCAGAGCCTGATGCCACTGTCTGTCTTCTCTCATGTCCTCTGCCTGCAACCTGTGCCCTATATCTCAGGAACGTAGAGTCTGGGGGGAGTCAAATAAAATTGTGGGACCACTGGGGGTACAGAGATTTGTTTGTTGTTGTCAACATTGTGCAGGACCCAAGCAGGTCTGGAGGCCTCCCAAGGCGGCCTCCATCCCGTTACCGTGTCCCGCCCTCTGTTGCTGGACATTTAGGTTATTTCTAGCTTTCATCTGTTGGAAGATCATGCTGCAACCAAGGGTATTTAGAAAAGCAAAAAACTTTTCTATTCTTTTAAAATTATGGAAATGTGAGGTTTAAAATGACCCAGTGAATATGAATTGCTTTGTAATCAGGAAACAAAACCCGATATGACAATAATTACAACCAGAATAATACCCAGTGGCCTAGGAGGGGAGAATCTGAAGGCAGGAAGAGACTGGAAAGCTCTGGGTCTGGGGAGACAGGAGGGAACCCCGGGTCTGCACGGTCACAGGCTGTGTGGGGTCACGGCACCTGAAGGCTGAGCAAGAAGAGGCTGCAGACCAGAAATCCTCCTTCTCAAGAGTTCTTCAGCCCCTGGTTCTACACTTCGGGTTTCTAAGCCCCTGGATCCCCAACCAGGTGTGACTTTGTTCCTGAATTGTGTCCAACACTTGTAGTTTTAACCCGGACTCCTTTGGTTGCAAGTGACAGAAACTCAGCTGAAACTAGATCTAAAAGAAGAAGTGCCTGGCTCCTCTCCTGGGAAGGCCCAGGGTGGGAGCGGCTTCGGGCACGGCTGGACGCAGGGAGGTCAGCCAGAGTCGCCAGGAAGCTGAGTTAGACGCCCGTCTCATCAGGGTTGCCAGATTTAGCCAATAAATCTACAGGATGCCCAGGAGAGTCTGAGTTTAAGGTAAGCAACAGGTGCAATTTTAGTAGAAGTGTGTCCCAGGCAACATTTGGGACAGACTCAGACTAAAACATAATTTGTTGTTTATCAGAAATGCAAATTTACCCAAATGTCCTGTGTTTAATCTGGCGACCCTGCTGCACATGCTGGCCTCATTCCTGTCTCATGCACGTGGCTTTTCCTGTGATGGAACGTGGTTGCCAGCAGCTCACAGAGTCTGGATGGCCGGGATGCTCCAGGGAGAGAGAGCCTTGGTTCACAGCTCTACAGGGGACACCCTGGGGAGGACTTTGTTGGGCCCAGCATGGTGACAGCACCAGGTGGTGCCTCGAGAGCCCCTCCCTCCCCATCAGCACCCACCAAATTCTTGAATGTTTTTCAGTCTTTGTGAAGCACTACACACACAGTTCATGCAGCCTCAAGGCGAGTGCCATGCTCCCCTTTCTAATCGGATCCCACCCCAAAGCCCCTCTTCATGGGAATTCGGGTAGCTCCTGTTTCTGAACTGATCACCGGATGGGGCATTTGTCCATTCCCAGGGTGTCTAGATAATCAGGTGGGTTGCTCTCAGAAGGAGAAGAAGCTGTGCCCAGATCCACATGGACCCACCACTTTGGCTGAATGCGCATTGGAGAGTTTCAAACTTCTCACTCTGTGCGTCTCGGTCCTTAGAAATCAGGGCCATCTAGTTAACAGAAATAACAATTTAGCAGTTGTTATTCCGTGTTCCAGAGAAGGGAACATCCACCCGAAAGTTTTTCTAATCACAAAGCTATTTTAAAAGCATGTCATCCCCAGGAAACCCAAGCCCAGGGTCGTGTTTACAACCAGTTTTGCAGGCCATCGGCTCCAACGCCCACCCGTGTTCGGGAGCAAAGTCAGAGAGAGAGGCGGGAGGGAGAGCG